AACTTGTATTGGTTTCTACATTCTCCCTACAATGTTTTTCTTCTAAAGAGAAATGCCCATGTGCTTGTCACCCCAGGGGGACCTTGGGGGCCTTACGAGCCTCCAGAAGAAGTGGACGACCTTTCTGAAGGCTGACCTGCGGTGTCCAGGGCCTGTAGATGGCCGGACCTCTAGTGTCCTGCAGGACATGGCTATTCTTCGACCTGAGACTGGAGTGGGGGCCCCCGTCTTTTATGGCATCTTTTTCTTTCAGTGGTGAGGGGGTCCTGGTGTGGAGGAGAATGACAGGGTGGGAGATAACGTGGGGCTGGCACCTTTCAGTGCTGTATCTTCCAGAGGGGGTGGCTTTTCCCAGGAGCCGGCTGCATGGCTCCTATGCATTTCTTATGGGTCATCTCATTTGACAAGGCATGCCTTGCAGTTGTTCCGTGCTCTTCAGATATCTGGCTCCAACCTGTGTCTCTTCCAGGGAGGGGGCTGCGATCTCAGCTGTCTGTGCATTCCGATCATCACACATTCGGACAGTGCTGAATGGTCCCTTCAGAGAGCTGAAAGATGACTGCACCAGGGGACAGCCTGTCATGGAGAGTGAGGTACCCCAGCCCAGACCTGGAGAGGTAAGGGGTCTGGGCAGCTCTTCACCCCATGCCAGAATCGCCTCATTAGAGCAAGAGCCCAAGTAAGCATCAGGGATACTTCTGGGCCCATGTGAAACATTGTCACCCATCCTGTGTTTCCCCTAGTGCATCGCTAATAACCCGAAATTCCAGCAGTTTAACTCATCACTCTTCCTGCCTGACCGTGTGCTCACCTTCATCCGGGATCACCCCCTCATGTACAGGCCAGTGCTTCCAGCTGATGGCCACTCCCTGCTGGTCACTACAGATACAGTCTATCTCAGAGTTGTGGCCCACAGGGTGGCCAGCCTGTCAGGGAAAGAGTATGATGTGCTCTACCTGGGGACAGGTATGTTTAGTAGCCAAGTACATTGCCCATCCCTTGCACACATGTTCTTGTCAAAGAGAGGGTTGTATACTTACAGGTATGGGAGTCCCAGGCACAGGTACAGTGTGTCATTATGTCGTGCCCTCTGCCTGCTTCCTAGAGGATGGACACCTCCACAGAGCTGTGCGGATTGGAGCC